AAGAGTTCGTCCAGGGAAGTACTGCCACCTTACCTATTTCTGCCGCCAACCAGTAATGTTAGCATTACTCGTTCCGGGTTTCGAAGGATAAGGGTTGTGGTGAACTTATAGGCACATGAGATTTGTCAACTTATGCCTCAGGGTGACGGGCGCAGTGGCAGATCTTTGTGATTTGTGTGCTCTGAGTGGCACTATAACTGTTATGGACAGGGTGTGGGTTACCATCAGGCGCATGACTTGTTCGTCCCGTCACTTGATCTGACCATTGCGCCGGTCACCCTGAGACATAAGTTGAAAAGTTTCACGAATGCTCACATTATTACTTGGCAGTTGAAATATGTAAGGTGGCAGCACTTCCCTAAACGAAAACTTCACAAGGAGCTCTACTGCTACCAAAGTCTACTGGGAGAACTATTCTTTTCAATTTAAAGGCCGAGGTTCGAATACCGAACTTACTAAAATTAATATTATATTATGTATACACCTGTTTAAAAACGCTATTATTGTTAATGTAAAACACCGTTTAAGCTGATCAGTACTTTTTGGTTTACTGTACATCGCCTATAGTTTCTTACACGACGAGGTTGTACAATATAATAAACATGTTGCCACAGTTGAGCAATTCGCTTGTCATTTCTGGGATACATTGAACTCGTAAACCGGCGATGGACACAGCACATTAGCATAAGTAACTATAAAAACGGTATATATCTTCGGTTACGATTCAAATTCCCTTCATACCATCATTAGTATGTCTTATTTTCTTTATTGGGTTATAAATAATGACTAACATTAGGACTGTTTCTATGTTTCTTTTTGCAAATGTTCTGTAGTCTGCCTTATATTGTTTTAATATAAATTTAGTTCTGGAAATCTACCCTGTAGAGCGTAAAGGTTCCGTGGATATCACCGCCTAACCTATTTCTCTCTAGTAGCAGAAGTGCTATCTTTCAAGTTGAAAGATCAACACACAAAGACTTACGATCCTGTCTTAAAATAACCCGAGGCTGAAATTGAATTGGTGAAGTTAAAATAGAATTGAATGATTATTAAATATTCTACAAACCAGCCAATTCGTCAACAGATATACCGGCGTACCATTGGTATGTTCGCGTGTTCATTTATATTAAGAAATACAATACTTAAGTGACACCACTTAATTGATAAAAAACCCAATGAACAATTGAAAAGAGGAAAATAACAAACCACTCTTTTAAACACATTTTACTTTTCATCGCAAATAAAGTTGCATGCTCATAATTGCCATGAAGTACAAAATTTCCGAGTCGATATATTAAAAGCCAGTGGTGATTCAACTATTTATGGCGAGCGCCAAGGCTATTTGACCGAAGGGGAGAATTTTATCTCTCTCTAGATGCGTCAATAAACTCTTAAAGTCATGTCACACAAGCGGTAGTTAAGTCTTCGGAGACTAAAATCGTGAAACACCTCCGTTGATAAATTAGTGCCACTTTTTAGGGCGTAATGATAGTATAGTTACCACGTCGTCGGTATAGATGTAAAACACACGAATATATATATATAACATAAAGTGACGGAACGAACAAGGCAACTATTGATAATGATAATATCATGATGTCGCGACATTTTATCATCGACACGTCGTCACAATGTTGCGTCTCTGGTTTCTAATTCCACCAACAATTGCCATTAATAGCTCGCGCGAGCCATCGCGAGCTGTTAGTGAAATGTTAAGATTCAGTACTGTTCAGTTCATCTGGCGATAAATACGCTACTGAACTAACATGTCCCGTAAATTATTATTGTTAAATAAATGTGGAGACCGTGCGAGTACCCGCGAGATCGCGCGAGAAGTCGTATTTCCGTTAAAGAGTATAACACTCTATATTAGCAGCAATATGGTTCAATATTACATCAACAAATATTTCCATTCTCTCCTCGCCCGTCCTCGTCAATCCAGATAATTTCCACCGAAGATGGGCTAGTAGAGAATATAAATTTTGTCACACAAATTTCAAATCTCGTCTCGCCTCATCTCGCCTCGCCTCGCCGGTCGAAAACCTCCTTAAGAGATCAATTCTCCACGAGGAATCCGCTTCACGCAATTAATACTGCGTGAACAAGGAATAAAGAGATAGTTCATGAAATCTCTGATATTCTGTAATATGCCTATAAATTTTTGCGTTACTAGTTTATCTGAGACATTTTGATAGTGTTATGTAGGTTGAACCTCTTTCAATATCACACGATTTTCTTGTAAGTAGTTATCAAAACCAACCAAATATGTATAAAATTGGTGTATGCGTGGTAATAAAGTCCCTATTCTTGAAAAAAACGTCTACCAAATAATATTTATTGCACATTCAAGAAATATTAAGAACTGACTTTTGTCTATTCCGCGATCATATATAGGGTAGTAGAACTTTAAAGAGGCAGATTTAGCTGCAAAAACAATTCTCAAGAAGTGAATCCAGAAATTATCATAAAATTTGAAGAAAAAAATAGTATTTCACGACAAAGGAATTCCTGTAAAATATCTAAGAAATATCCTGAAGCTTCGAGTTGGTAGAGTTCACCTGTTTTAACAGACTCTTCGAGATTTAGAGAAGTATCGGTAAGATGGGTTTCGCAAATGTTAACCGAAGAAAACAAGATTCGACCTTTTTTTTAAGTTACGTAGCAGAATCTCGAAATCTTTCAATGTGATTCGAAAACTTTTGCCGTCGTTTCGTAATCATGAATGAGGTATGGGTTCCACATTTTGGCCCAGTAATAAAAAAACATGTTCTCGAAACGACCTGCTTTTTCATCTAGTCCAACAACATTTCATGTTATTCCCTCAGCAGCAAAGTTATGGTCTCTGTGTTTTGGAATTATGAATTCTTTTCTCAAAAGAAGTACGATAATACATACTTTCATCTTCGAGCCGCGTGATTTATTTTATTAATAAAGCTATTTATTTTAGTAATTAAAATACAAATACGGAAAGATATCGTAACGCGTCTTGTTTGACCACAGCAATGACCCCTCGCTCCAAAGTTGCACTCACAGGAATCCGCATACGTGGGTATAAAATTTTAATCATCCGCAATATTCAATTGGCTTGTGGTGATTTTCACTTATTCCCAAAGTTAAAACACTATGTTCGTGAAACAAAATTTGACGATGACAATGCAGTTACGGCCCTCGTTTTTAAGTGATTTTTTTTCGGAGGGAATAAGAAAACTTGAGAAACGTTATTATACTATCTGTATAGAGATAGAAAACGATTATGTCGAAAAACAGCATTTTTTTCCTATGTGTTTCTAACGTCGATGCTTCGTACTTAAATGAAGATAATATTTTATGGTGTTATTTATGTATGGCAAATTAAACCTTTCTAAAGGAAAGGTACTTGTAATTATTAATACAAAGATCGAACACTCAGAAAAAAATCCTTCGATGCGGCCGGATTCGAACCGACGTCTTCTAGCTTACCGTGCCAAACGCTATACCAACTAAGGCACGGAACGAACCAGCGGACCTCACGATTTTTTCTATGTGCTTGTTATCGTGTCTTTGTATTTGGTTTTTCAACGACGTTTTAGTCGTAGCGCCATCTATGAAAGTTTTATCACCCTGTTAGATACTTTTGCAGCTACCAGCCCTGGCGAGAGATGTCTATTCACTGTATTTTAAATTTTGATTGAGTTGATATTCAATTATTTTTGTGAAATTACTCCACTATCCTTTGTATCAATAATTATAACAAACTAGTGGAGTAATTTCACAAAAATAATTGAATATTAATTCAATTAAAATTTAAAGGTACTTGTAGTGAGTAACTATCACAAAAATCAAATATATCTAACAATTTATTTAATGTTTCGATATCTCGCTTAGAGCAGCGAGAAATATTGAACTCGCGAGTACAGGGACAGGGAAAGAAATTGGTGCTTGCATCAACCTTTAAATCCAAGATCTCGAGTTCGTTTGAAAGTTTAGAAATAAGAAATATTTCTCAGGTTTTCACTCACGACCGCGTTCATCACGATCTTGCGAAATCTCTAACAAATATCCTGTGTTACATATCTTCAATAGAACAGTTCTTCAGTCAGGTGGAGGCGCGGATAGTACAGAATACAGAACACAGGAAGCGGTACTGAGTCTAGTTCGAATAACTTATTGCATTGTGAATATTGTGTTGACGATGAGCTCCGTCACTATTGACTCGGCGCCGGCGCAACACTTATTGGTATTTTGAACAGGCCCAGGAGACCGAATTTAAAGCTCAATTATAAATTAGATCTTAATACTAATGAGAACCAAGCGTTACCAAATGATAATTTGTCTGACATTACTTTACTACTGTGTCAAGAATATTGTGTTGTTAACGGCGTTAATTAGAGTACAAATGGTCATGATAATACCTATTATTGTAACGATTACATCGTTGCTTCGTGCCCTAATAAATGTAGATCCCATGGAACGTTTTATGATACAGAGGCCAAGGTTTGAAGGGATCCTAATAGATCACCGACCCGAGAGATATTGCTTTCCGTAGAGACTACGGGCTCCCCGGCAAGACCAGGTTACGGCGGGCGTCCGGCCTCAGCCCTCCGCCGATACGCCTTCACGGACGTCTCTGGCGAACCCGGATGTAGGGTGCTGTACGTGCACCCTAGGTGACTCACTAGAGAACCGGATGAAGTCCGTGCAAACGGACCGATCTGGGGTTAGGACCTAACTTAGATGGTCCCTGCGTGGACAAACTCGCGCAAGTCATTGTGCCCTTCTCGTATACCCTAAGTTTCGTTAGAGAGGGTCACTATAATCAAAACTAATGTACAAAAATATGGGGCGGTCCCAAAAAATTCCACACTGAGACTAGAAGAAATCGAAGTTTGTAAGGACTCACACTCACATTTTTAAATATATTTTTTCTAGGTTCTTACAAACTGGGCAACTGGGCCCTTGCCACTGCTTATCGCTAAATTTTGAGACTCCCTGCTTAACTAAATAATGTAAATAATACACACCTTTTTGCCATCTAATTCGTGTGTTCCTTGCGCTAAAACTTTGTCTACACTAGCCGCGTCGCCGAATGTAATAAATCCAAAGCCCCTGAAACAAACAAAAACATAATCAATTATGGTCATCTTTCTTAGCCCTAACGAAAATAAATTGCTTAGAATAACATTAGAAAATGATACATACAACACCAAACGTTTATAAATCTGAAAATCGTACTCATTGCATAATAAAACCACAAGTGAAAAGTGTTTCTAATACATATGAGAGTTATAAAAATAATGTAAATACATGAAACAAATTGCGTATATGTGAAATTTTATCTCCTTTTCAATAATAAAAAATAACCGACTAATTTCGTTCCTAAAATTTTAAACCTCTCTGCAGAAAAGTTGTCATTTTGCAGGGGTGCGCCTCATTTATATGAAAATTATATACACTAATTTCAAAACAAATACCATTCATAGGAAATGAAACTATTTTTCCGGATTTAAATCCTGTATATTTGTTTTTCCAAACAAACCAAACAAAAAGGTTAATTTGAAAAAACAAATATACGCGATTTAAATCCGGAAAAATAGTATCATTTCCTATGTGTAACAATCGCGAAAACCTGAGAACTCGATAAATACCATTCATTTAATATAATTTTTATTTGGACCGATTTCACTTTCTGTAATTTAACTTCATATAATTCTTGTTTGATATAATATTCACATTTTATAGAAAATTATATAATATGAGCTTAATGTAAAGCTACTGGCCCGGATTCGAACTCACGCCCGCTGCTTGAGAGGAGGTACGTCAAACCATTAGGCTGCCACGGCTTCTTTGTTATGTAAATGTGAAATTTAAAGAATAAGCACATACAGTAGAATACACAAGCATGTACAGAATTATGTAAGTATGAAAACACCTTAGAAAAAGGGTTCCCAAAACAGAATATTTATGCTACAATATGTTTCAACTTTATTATGATAAAAAAATAATCATATCTGCCTCTCAATTTCTTCTCTTCATAATAAAATTGCAAGCAAACTGTGGTACAAAGTGATAAAATAATAATTTCGTTCGACATATCTACAATTTCTACTTCAGTATTTAAGACTGCAGCGCAAAGGGGACTGCCGATAGTGGCTGTCTCCCTGATTGCGAGACGACTCTAACGACGTTTGTGTTTATTTTGTTCTCACTTAAACTTTCCTTCGAGTGCTTTATTTATTGAGTGATTTAAATTGTTCACTCGAAATTGTATTTACGAAAGTGACTGTACGGTAACGGTACTTAAAAGAACGTGCAGAGAAATTAAAGATAAGTTATGTGAATTGCTCATTTAATGTTCATCAGTCTTAACTACCTCTATGGCCCAATGGTTAATACTGTGGGCGCTAGATGAGGACGTCTCGGGTTCAATTCCCGGCAGGACCAGTTTGGGGAATGAACTTTTCTATATTGGTTCTCAGATTAGAACCAATACAGAAAAGTTAATTCACTTTCATTCACGGAATTCCGTTGCTCTGGTATTCATAGTACAGGGATTTCACTCATTTGAAACAAATGGTGTGGTTGTCCGACACATTAGATTTTGTTTTTTTTTAACGCCAAGTAACGAAACGAATAAGACGTGTCTGGTGGTAAGCGATATTCCTATCCATAGCAGTTGCAGTGCCACTCAGAGCTTTAATCATAAAGATTTGGGGGCACTGCCACTGCCCTCGTCACCCCGAGACACAAGTTGATAATTCCCATATGGCTGTCATTTCACAAGCACCCTTAGCCTTCAAAACCGGAACACAGTAATGCACACATTACTACTTAAAGTACGAAATGCTGTGATGGCTGTTTTGACGTTTGTCCGCTCATCAAGTTTCATATTAATTCATAACTACGTTAAAGGAACTAATTGCTGTACATTATTGTCAATAGTGACGTGCAGTTAAATTTATGGAATGTATAATTTTACCACACAACTCGGCATTTGTTTTTGGAAATTCGAAATTTGTAAAAAGACAAAGCAGTTTCGAATTGAAGACTTATTAAGTAAACATATTTTTTTCGATAATGAATTGAGATTTTACCTCACTATTGTAATCTGCCAAAACGGTCACCGTAGCGTGCCGGTACTTTAGCGACATAAATAGATAAAATGACAGTACTTCCCAAATGCAAAAGTGGCAAATTACTGGACGAACACTTTCACAAGGAGCTCTACTGACTCATAACTTTGTTATATACTTAACAGACAAGCAAACCAATATATTTATACAGTATATTCATTCTTCTTCTTCTCATTTAAAGCCTAAGTTCTTGTCGGTGGAGTAATCGCTAAACATCTCTATTCCGTGCCCTAACTTTTATTTCCTGACACAACACGACATTAACATTTCCCTTATCAGATGACTGCTCCTTGTGAAAGAGTTTGTCCAGGGAAGTACTGCCACCTTACCTATTTCTGCCACCAAGCAGTAATGTCAGCATTACTGTGTTCCGCTTTTGAAGGGTAAGGGTGCTGGTGAAATTACAGGCACATGAGATTTGTCAACTTATGTCTCGGGGTGACGGGCGTAGTGGCAGTGCCTCTCAGATCTTTGCGATTTAAAGCTCTGAGTGGCACTACAATTATTATGGACAGGCGTGTAACTTACCATCAGGCACACGACTTGTTCATCCCGTCACTTGATATAATAATAAAAAAGGTTCTCTTTTCCTGCACTGTTCTTAACATCATTGGTTTCTCTGTCTGTCCAATTGATTCCCTCCATTCTTCTACAGCACGAATAAATGTTTTAACCTGATCGATATTTCATGTAACTCAACATTATCTTTCTAGCATTTATGCAAAGATTATTCAGATTGGCATTGAAGTTAATATTTCAAACAAGTAAATTGTATAATAACGCAGCGATTTTTCAGTAAGCGTTCGCTGGCCACGGGCGGGCGGGCGATAAATAATAAAAAGCCTTCTCCACTTTAGGACTTGCAAAAATCACAATTTATAGAGCATTTTAATTTCACTTAGCCGATCCATATTTTACATGTGGCGGCGCGCCCGACCGTACTCCGGACTCGAATTAATACTAAATTGAAATTGTAAAAATGGAAATACAATTTTGTCGTTGTACCCGGTGGAGCCGGGAATGTGCTATAATAACACACCTTAATATTTTTGAGTGGGGCTACGCGGGAAACGCGGTCTAGAAAAAATGCTCCTTTCACTGCCTTTACAAGAATATTATTTATTAGGGCGCCCGCAAGGGGAGTCAAAATTAAATGACCTTCGTGAAGGAGAGGTGTGTTAAGTTACTTTGTATAGGTAAAAAAAACCTCTTTATTTGCTAACATCCACGTTTATTTTACTAACTTCTAGATTTGTAACAAATTTTCACTTGATTTGGACAACAGACTTGGTCAATTTCATAATTTAATTTGCTACCCATTCAATCTGTATTCAAAGGAAACAATTGAGAAGGGATCCTTTCTAAACGCATTAAATCAGCCCATGGTCTTTAGAAGATTCATGGCTTAATACACTCGGTTTATATTCCTACACGAAAACATATAGAGGATAGGGCGCTCGTGTATGGAAATTGAAAATAACGATGGCCTCCGTTCATACCGCGCATCAAGCCGACTATGTGCGAGGCGACCATTGATAATGGACCTATCGCGAATCTTCGTATTCCCTCTACCTCTTTCGATCTGTACATTGATACAGGAGAGGCGGAGGCTCTCATCAAATTGGAACCACTACGCGAGTTCCGACTGGAGAGGCCCTTTACCGAATGGAGTTACGTCTTACTTATCTTTAAGAGGACGATGCCTTATTTTCTTACTTGAAAGAGGAACAACTCAATTCAATATTACAAAATGTGGTAATAAGCCTATGATCACTTTTCGTGTTTTATACGAATAAACAGAGAAATAATTATTCAGACTGTTACAGCTTCCGATCAATTATTTTTCCGGCTTTATACAAAGGTAATACAATTTATTGTGGAGTATTCAATTAACGATGCATGGTGGAAAAGAGGTCAGCTGAACGACATAATTTACCTAGTGTTAAACGATACTGGTGCTAGTTTACTTGGAGTTGTGTTGCGGTTTCCTGTCCCTCTTCGGTTATGCACAATGGAGCTTAAACGGCGCAGCCGGTAACCGCGCACCTTTAATTTATGGATGACGAGATTTTGATACTGCTGCGACTCCCGTACTTATCAAGTTACAATTAAATGAGCCGCCTCACGGTTGACATTACGTTTAATATCTCTATAAATTACATTTTATATATGGACTGTAAAAAGCCAATAAACCAAATATTTATCCTTTAATCAAGCCGCCTAAAAAACGCTTCCATGGAAAATGAATTTTGGAATAGAAAATCTGCTAAATATACCAAAACAATCTCTGCTCCAGATGTTTTAAAGTACATTTTTGTTTATAATAAAAATATTGCGCTGATAAAAGGGAGATTAGATTTTTTTGTTATTATTAGTCATAAATATTGCAGGTATAGGCAGTGGCTCTTAACCGCGTTACACTCAATAGTGTTATTTGGAATAAGCCTATTGTTTTCCACAGCGTTAAGCCCAAAGTATCGCAACTGATAATCCACTCGGCATTGTGTGTTTGGACAAAACTCGAACAAAATAAATATAGGACGGGAGGTGAAACCCTAAACCGCAACGTCAGGAACAAATAGCGGTAACTCCCGTATTCATGGCTCATGGCTGCAGCCTCGGGTGGAAACCGATAGCAATTACTGGCGGAATTAATATCACGCCCCAAATGTTGCTCGCACATTTATACGTATCGAGTGCAATATTGTCTCCTTTATTAGTTACCGGGACAAATGCTGTCGCCGTCGTAATTCCACCCTTATTTCAGTCTTCGATTGCCGCCTTTCTTATTTAATCTTGACGATAATTAATACTTCTTACGACCGCGTGGACTTCTGGAGTAGACGCGGTCACTCCGTTAACGTGTGTTAGCTTTTGCCTACATCGTTCACGAGCCGTATAAAACGTGATTTATCAGAATCTAAAAAATGTATGCTAAATTGAGTACGATCAAGCAATTGTGCGAGAAATATCTAA